ACCCCTGCACCGATCTTCTTGAAACTTGGCAGGCTTCATTCTCTCTGCAGAATCTACCACCCCTGAAAATTTCATCCAAATCAAACAAAAAAGCCAACAAAGTTAGAGATATTTTATTGTTCCCCATTATACCCTATGGCCAGATCTCCAAGGCAGCTCTGAACTGCTTTGGGAAGCTGAATGAGGCGGCCCTTTGACCCAATGTGCTGCTTCAGATCCCGAGGCATCTGAAGCTTCTCCGGATCCGAAGCTCTGTCCGAAACCTCACACAGCCATATCCTACACGCCTTTTCACCTTAAAACACAAAACTACCATCAAATCATTTCCATCTAGAAGAAAAACTACACAACTTTAGGGAGCATGTAAAAAGTTCCACTACCCAACCCAGGAACTTTTTACATGCTCCCTAAAATCCACAAATAAGGGGAACCCAGGCATACCTATCATATCCAAGCATGGAACCCTAACTGAGGAAATATCAGGTTTCATCAAATCCACCCTAAAACCTCTGATCCAGAGCGAGTTTTGTCCAAGATGCAACAGACATTCTACGGAAACTTAAAACCATAGACCGCCTTCCCAGCAACACCCTTCTAGCCACCATGGATGTTACCAGCTTATATAACAATATCCCACACTAGGATGTCATCCAAGTCTGCCTTATATATCTACAAGAGCAAGATTACAACTCGGAGTACAGACTTAAAGATATTACTGAATTTATACACTTCATCCTCACACACAACAACTTCAGTTTTAATAACATAGATACGGGTGCCAAAATGGCCCTACAATATGCCAACCGTTTTATGAGCCACCTAAAAGAAGAATTCCTCAAGAACTGCACCATCAAACCAATGCTATATTTAAGATATAGAGATGACATCATCATTTGGACTGAAAGCCTGCAATCTCTGACTGATTTCCATCAGAAGTTCAATAATCCCCTCTACCAGGCTATCTCTTGAATACTCCAGCACCAACATTTCCTTTTTAGAACACTATGGTAACTGTCCAGAATGGTAAAATACAAACCACCATCTACAAGAAACCCAGGGACCAACATACATATTTACACAGAACCAGCAATCACCCTAAACACACCAAGGAAGCTGTAATACGCAGCCAAGCCCTCCAATACCACTGAATTTGTACTGAAGGGAACACCTGTGATTATCACCTCACAAATCTCTCAAAAGGGCTTTCACTCCTCCACAAGGACACTCCTACAGAGGGAGAGAGAGCACTTTTGAAAGAGACACCTGGATACCATGTGAAGAATTGCTGCAGTACAAAAAGAAAATCCCCATGAATTGCACACCATTAGTTATGACATACCATCCCTCCCTGTAACCTATGTGGAAAATCCTCAAACAATTGCAACCTATACTAGAAGACCCAATTCTTAAAGAGATCTTCCCAGAACCACCCATCCTAGCCTTTAAACAAGCACTGAACCTCGCTAACCTCATCACCAGAAGCAAACTTCCTATAGTCCAAAGCACACAAAATGGATCCAGACCATCTTGGGACAAGAAATGTAAAACCTGCCAACACATCTCAACCACTCCCACAATAACGACACTCCACAATGGAACCATCACCATGCCTGGATCCTACACCTGTACCTCCAGAAATGTTATATATCTCATCCAGTGCATTAAATGCCCTGATGGAAAATATGTAGGAGAAACCAAACAACTGTGAGCTAGAATGAATGCACACCAGAAATCTGTCAAAGGCAAGAATACCCAATTACATGTGCAGGCACATTGCCCTCAAGATAACCACTCTCTCCCCAATCTCTCTGTTCTAATCCTCAAAGGGAATTTACAAAACACCTTTTACAAATGAGCCAATGAACTTCACATCATCAATCTACCAGATACAAAAAATCATAGACTAAATCTAGACTTTGGATTCATTATAGACATTGGAACATTATAACCTACCTGACATCTGATAACTCCAGGTAACCTCTCTACAATTTACCAGCTACATTTCATCACCAGACTTCCATTTTCCCTTTCCTCTGCCCCCCCCACCTATCTCTCACCTACTGTCTCTGACCCCCTCCAATTCCTCACTGCCCCACTTTTGTATTTTCACTGACCCGCATTCTTGCATACTGGCTTCTATTCTATCCCGGAGAGTACAATACAACTGTAAACTCTCCTTCTGCCTGAAGAAGGGTGTTCGTACCTGAAAGCTTGCAAAGAACAATTTTCCAACTATTTAGTTGGCCTAGTTAAAGATATCACACTTACCCAAAGAACCTAGTCTGCGAATATATGGTGGGGAATTTCTGTGAATTTAGCTTGAATGGTTCAATTGGTAACTAGAAGAATCATATTACAGTAACCAAAAATTTCTATCAGTCAGACAAAGGAGGAATCTGGCTGTTTTTTCTAATCATTTTTAGAGTGAAGATATGTTGAGATTTGTCCCAACTAGAAGCAATCTTTATATACATAATAATCTTTCCTCTCATTCTTCCTAAGTTTCTTTTTTTAAAGAATAGCTTAATAGTAAGACAAGAACCAGAGATCTGATTTCACTGAAATTGCTGACATTGTTTCTCTTTATTGCAAACAAAATGGTTTCAAAGTCCTAAAAATGCAATGCATTTGATGATAATGCTGGCAAACTGTAACCTAAAATTAATGTATCTTGTACTAAGAAGGAAGCTTTTTTTTCCCTTCCCCCACCCTTTTTTTATATTTTGCTTAGAAAACTTTCATAGGGCAGAAATGTTCTTTTTCATCAAAGGGGATGCTCTGGCTCTAATAGGAATCTCAATAAGCGAAGATCAGGCTGTACCAATGAAAAGAACATTTTCCAACAAAACTGAAAGTTCCCTGTTTCTATTGTCATTTAAATCAGTGGTAAAGACTTCTGCTGACTTAAATGGATATATATTCTGCCACTAAGACTTTTTGCATATTGTACAACTTAATTCCTCTCCCTATTTTTACAATTCTAAAAAATTACAAATACTGAAAAATTATTGAGCTTTTCTGATGCAACTTTTTTTTTTGCACAGTTTGAAGTGCATTTGATACTTTACTTTTCTTAGGCAATGAGTAGAACCAGACATACCTCTTCAATGGTCAAATTTTTATCTGGCCCTGTGAGGTAAGGCGTAAGAAAAGATTCTGCTGGTCTCATTGCAGAGAAAAATCCATATGTGCAGAGAATCAAGGTAGGATAAATCCAGCTGCTGCTTTTCACTTCTTTCCAACAATCCATGGCCTGTCCAATAAAACACAATAGAGAAAATGTGCATGGAACAAAAGATCAAAAAGATGATCCTTGCTGTTAGTGAAAGTTCATTCCTTGTAAGCTTACTGTTACGTTTATCCCCACTTCAAGAAATGTTGTTGGGTTTTTTTTTTGGTTTGGCTTCGTTTTTTGACCCTTGCCAACAATCACATCCACATCTTGTACCTTGACCCGAGTTGTTCATTTACAAAGAAGCAAATTTCAGTTCCTTAGTGCTCTCAAGTGTTGTTTAAGTGACATACTTAGAATTAAGCTTCATTGCAGTCTCATTTGTGTTTTAAATGGGTAGTTAAGTAAGCTGAATGAAAATCCATCTCAGAGGATGGTCAAGGAATTTTTTACCTTTACTTTTCAACCAACAGCAATGATAAGTGCAAACATCTGTTCTTATCTATTCACTAGCCAATTGCCCATCAGGAATGATGGGGGGTGGGGGAGGGAGCATGCAGAGACAGAGGCCCGTGTCCCTGCCCTGTCCGGGCCCACTCCCCGTTTACCTTCTGCTGCTTAGGGTCCAGGCCTGCTCCCCCGCTCCTTGCCACAGCAGTGGGGCGAGGGAAGGAGTGGGTTCAGGTCCGATGCGGGGGAAGACTGGGCCCGAGGGTGGGGAGAAGCCAGCCTGCCATGGCAGGGGGAGCAGCAGGCCTGGGCTGACCTGGCAGTGGCAGAGGAATGAGACGAGTGGGCTCACAGCTGATGGGGGGGACGGGAGGGTGGGAGAGGAGTGGGCCCAGGCCTGAGTGGGGGAGGAGGCCCAAGCCAAGCTGGGAGAGAAGCTGACCCACTATGGTGATGAGGCGGAGCAGTGGGCCCAGCCTGATGTGGCATCAGCTGGAGAAGGGGAGGAGTAAGCCTCTTTCCCCTCCTCTGGCCAGGTCTCACTCCTCCCCGTCCCTCCTCCTCCACCCATTGGCTCCGAGCCCGCTCCTCCTGTTCCCCTGCTGCTGCTGCCACTGCCACCAGGTTGGCCTGGGCCTGCTGCTCCCCGTGCCGTGGCGGGCTGGCTTTTCTCCTGGCTTGGGCTCAGTCCTCCTCCCCCCCTGCATGCGGCCCCAGCCCACTCCTCCCCACCTCCCGCTGCCACAGTGCACCTGCTATTCCCCCAACCCATGTCAGGCCCACTCCTCCCCCCACTGCCGCCGTGTCATCCTGCATCAGGCCCTATAGGTGACAACAACAGAAGTGGGGAGGGGTGCGCTGAGGCCAGAGCCATGGCCTGGCTCCCCCCTGCAGTGTCCCAACCTTGCTCCCCCTCCATGCTGCTGTGTGAAGAACTGGAGGCTACTTACTCAGGTTGGCCCCCTGCCCATGAGCATAAGCTTGGCTGGAACAGCATGACCATGCTATAGCGGGAGCTCCCGATATGCCCCAGCTTGACTTTACCATCTCACCAGGCGAGGTGGATTGGCGGAAATAGGTGGTCGGGTCTATATCCAGGATGGAGCAAGGAGCCAGAGGGGAGAGGAACAAATGGGCAGGTAAGGCTTTAGTTGTACTCTGCCTGAGACTGAAGTCCCCAGGAATGGGGCAAGAGACCAGTCTGGTCTTGTGAGCTCAGAGGAGTTCTCACCAAAAGCAAAGCAAAAAAAAAGAGAGAGAGGACAGTAGAGAGAAGGAAGAGACGCGCTCTCTCCGCTTGGGTTATTTTTTGGTAATCGGCCACCATGGGTGGTCAATTAAGCCAGCTTGGTGGCAATTAGGAGTGGAAGCGGGAAGCCCTCTGTTTCCTCCCAACTCCAGTACTCCAGTGCCCAGGGAAGCTGAGTCTGGGAGAGGGACTTTTCTGAGCCCCGTCAGGAAGAGGGGAGCTCAACATTGGGAAGGAAGAGGGAGATGTTTCCCCTTGTCTGTTTCATGGTTCTGATGGGCTGTTGCAGGTGGTCAATTAAGATGGTGCAGCAGCAATTCTGAAAAACAAAACAAACCCCGTTCGCCTGCAATGCTGGCATTTAAGTGTCCGGGGTGACGAAAGGCAAAACCAGAAGGGATTGCTTTGAGTCCTGACATCTAGGAAAGGAGCTTGGTGTTAACAACAAATTTTTCTTTTTTTGTTTCCACCGGAACTGGGCCCGGTGGTGTGAACCAGCTACTGGTCATTGCTGGGTCAGGGAAGTCACCCCTCTTTGTATTTTAACCATCAAAGTCATGGTAGGTGAGAACAGAGAATGAGAGAGTCAACCCAACTAAACTGGTGGAGGTCAAGACGTGCGGGAAGAGAACTGGTGAATGTCAACCAGGTGCAGAGGCATGTGCCCATACTCGGTGATCACCTGACAAGCTGATGCATTGGCTGGGAACTTCAACGACAGCTGGAGGGAAGCCAAAAGAATGGACATTTCTATGGCAGCGGCAGTGGCAGCTGGCATGGACCCTGTCAGGCAGATGCTACACTTGGTGGGACAATTCCTCCAGCAGCAACAACAGCAATCTGTGTGGCAGTTGGCTCTGGAGGAAAGCTGGATCCAGCATCAAGCATGGCACCAGCGGAATGCGGTCGAATTGAGAATACCTAAGATGTCAGTACATAATGACCTGGAGGTATTCCTGGAAAGATTTGAGTGGGCAGCCTTGATGGCCGGGCTGGAAAAGTCCCAATGGGCTGGTCAGTTGGGAATTTTGTTAATAAGGAAGGCCCAAGCAGCCTACAAATCCATGACATGAGATGAAGCCATGAGAAGGTCAAGAAAGAAATCTTATACCGGCTGGATATCAACCCCGAAATCTACCAGCAGGCATTTAGAGCTAGGAAGCAGAGGGAAAAAAGGAGCCACGGGCCTTGTTGCAGTGGCTGGCTAACCTAGCGGCCAAGTGGTTGAAGCTGGTGGAAAGTTCGAAGAACGACATTTATGATAAGATCCTATTGGAACAGTTTTTGAATGATTTAGATGAAGAGACCCAAAATTGGGTCCATTGTCATATACCAGGGTCGTCTGCAGGGGCACTGCGGCTAGCCAAAAACTTTAGCAGTGCCCTAGGAGAAAGGCTGCCGGACTGGACTTCGAGGGTGACTGGGTATTCGAAACCCCATGAACCTGCAAGATCAGGGAGTAGGGAGCTCCAGGAGACTAGGAGGCCTAGCACTATTGTGGTGATCTGTTTTAGACATGGGAAAGCAGGACACATGTCACGAGACTGCTCCAGCCTGCCACGGACTGCTCCCCGAGTGACACATTCTTCATTTGCAGAGTTGGGTGGAACACCAGGCCATGCAGATCTGGCTGGAATAGAGTCCATGGACTGCAGTGTAGGGAAGGAGATTAAGGGAGGCCCTTGGCCCCGCCCAGTGGTGGAAGCATGAGTCAGGGGCGAGAGGTTGGAAGCTGTTGTGGATACCGGTTGCTCCCACACGTTCATACAAAGCAAGCTGGCCCCTGCCAAATACCTTCGAAAGGCTACCCCTCTCAGGATGACGCGCATGCATGGACATGGTATTTATTACCCTGGAAGATCTATCAAGTCACTGTGTTGAATCCCACCCTGGAAATGCCCATTGGAGTGGCTCATGACCTGCCATACTCAATGATTCCAGGACAAGACTGGAAGGAGATCTATGAAGTCTTAAACATAATAAGAAGTGATAGGCTGAGGGGTGTCAGCCTGTTAGAGAACTAGGCCAAAGATCTCACTGAAGAAGATTTTGATATAGAATGACCAGCATGTAGTCAGACAGTCTGGAGGGCACAGGAGGAAGAGAAAGAGTTCCAGGCCATCCAGGAGACCAAACTGGCGAGAAGGGAAGAAGCAGTAGTAGACCCAAGGTGCTACGCAAATCTGCCCAGGTTGGAGGTCAGAAGAGGGTTGTTGTATCGGGTGAAGTGGGGCCTACAAGAGAGGAAGTAGGTAGCCCAGTTATTAATACCGACTCAGTTTAGGGTCCCCCTACTGAAGTTAGCCCATGAAAATCCTTTGGGGGACACATGGGGCATAGCAAAACAGAAGCCCGGTTAACAAAATGGTGCTTTTGGTCTGGGCTGTATGAGCAAGTGGAGAGGTTTTACCGGGCCTGTCCAGCATGTTAGAGGGCGAGTGCGAGTAAGCCAGCTCGGGCCCCTGTACAACTTATGCCCATGATCTAAGTCCCATTCTCTCATATCATGCTGGATGTGGTAGGGCCCCTCCCTAAAAGTTCAGTGGGGCATCAATACTTGCTATTTATCACAGACTATGCAACTAGGTTCCCAGAGGCGGTCCCCATACCAATGGTCACAGGACCTTGGGTGGCGGAAGAGCTTCTAAAATGGATCGCCTGGGTGGGCATCCCAAGGGAGTTTGTCACGGACGAAGGGTCTAATTTTATGTCCAAGGTCCTGCAGAATCTGTGTGGGAAGTTGTGAATTAGACACCTACGTACAACAGTCTACCACCCCCAAACAAACGGGTTAGTGGAGAAGTTTAATGGGACCTTAAAGAATATTTTGCGACAGGGTGTGCAAACTGATCCCCAGAGATGGGACCTTATGGTTCCACTGTTGTTGTTTGTGACGTGGGAAGCCCTGCAGTCATTGTTGGGGTGTGCCCTGTTTGACTTGGTGTATGGGCATCAGCTGAGAGGGTTGTTAGACCTTGCAAAGGAAGGGTGGTAGGAAGGCCTGAACAAGGGCGTCAACCCCTTGGAATACATGCAGAATATGAGACAGCGCCGGCAGAGGAGCTGGCGAGAGAAATATTTGAGGGTAGCATAGCAGATGCAGAAAGCTACATATGATAAAAGGGCTCAGGAAAGGAACATCCAAGCTGGTCAGAAGGTCTTGGTGCTCCCTGATACTGAGAACAAACTCCTGAAGTGTTGGCAGGGGCCCTTCGAAGTGATTCAGCAGGTGGGCCCTATAGACAATGAAGTTTTTGAAGCCAGGGTTTAGGAAGGAGACTTATCATGTCAATTTGCTTAAAGAGTGGAGCGACCAGGAGGGCTTGTTGGTTGATCCTTCCCCACCTGAGGAGGAGTTCGGTCAGGAGGTGGGGGCAGAGCTGGGACCAGGGGGAAGTGATGCAATAGTTTTGGTGGGAGTCCAACCTAGCCCTCAGCAGCAGTGCTAGTTGGGGGTTTTGGTGAGGGAATTTTGTGACGTCTTTAGCAAAATTCCTGGCTGCACAAGAAGAATAACCCACTATATAATAACCACCCCCCCCG